CTTGCTTCCTTGCTTCCTTGCTTCCTTGCTTCCTTGCTTCCTTGCTTCCTTGCTTCCTTGCTTGCTTCCTTGCTTGCTTGCTTCCTTGCTTCCTTGCTTCCTTGCTTCCTTGCTTGCTTCCTTGCTTGCTTCCTTGCTTGCTTCCTTGCTTGCTTGCTTCCTTCCTTGCTTGCTTGCTTGCTTGCTTGCTTGCTTCCGTGCTTGCTTGCTTGCTTGCTTTCTTGCTACAGTGAAGGAGGCTCAGGATTCTTCTACTATTGGCTGTGGGGGTTGGTCAACGCCTACTTGGCCTACTACATACAGCAAGAAAACACCGACTCAGACACCGCCGGAAGGACCCTGAGGCTTTTCAAAGGACTCCGCCTTTTGGTGTGTCTTGACTGCAAGATCCTCCTAAAAATCAAACTACAGTAGCCGTGAAGGGCATTTTTGAGGTCATGGGCGGGGACTTGGGGCTTGCAGACCAGAGAATGCATCAGCCTGCTGGTGTCTCGCCGATCCTTTCTGGAAGTAGGAGGTGCATTCACAAAGCACTCAAACTGAAACCACGGCTTAGGTGGACCTAATCAAGCTTTTGGGCCAATGCCTCAATCAACGAGCGGCATAGAAGCAAGGACTGCAACATAACAATCAGGTGCTGTGCGCTCTTCATTGCTTTCGCTTGGGAATGATTCGTCAAGGGTGACCAGACCATCATCCCACCAAAACCAGCATCGCAGACGGTCCAGACGTGGCACCGCGCCATGGAGCTCCACGTCGCCTTGGCGAGCGGCCGATCGGCCGCCGTGCAGTGCTCGCCGGAGTGGAGCGTGGGGGAGCTGAAAGCCGCCGCGGAGAAGGCACTGGGGCGAGGGCTGCTGGGCCCAAGCGGTTGCGGGACCCGCGGTTGCGGGACCGGAGGGGCACATGCAGAGGCAATCCAGAGACCACACCTTTTAAAGTGCGTCTTTGTAACGAAAGGTTTTGGACCCTCCGCTTGGTCTGTTTTCAGGAGTGCGGTTGGGGATCCGAACCTCGTGAGCTGAGGTTCCTTCGCCTCTGGGCGGGCGGCCGTGCTTTGCCCATCAATTCCACCGTGCTTGCCGAGGGCCTGGAGGAGGGCTGCCTGGTTACAGCTGTGGTGCAAGCGCCCCACATAGTGGCTGGCAGGTGCCCCGTTGTGTGAAGGAAAGGTCAAAACGTCAAGACTGTTTGGATCCAGAAAAGGGAAGTGCCGCACCAGAGGTCAGGGGTGTGACCATCCAAACATGAACTCTTGTGAATTTTGCATGGCGCAGGTCCTCTTTTGCAATTTGGAGAGGCCAAGATGACATCAGCCCAAGCCGGCTGATCACCTGGGGAAATCGGGAGCAAGGAGGTGATTGCAGCGGAGTTCAGGGTCAAATTGATGACTTGAGGCCGGAGATGGCCGGAGCAGCCGATGCAAACATAAAACACCTCAACCTAAGGTGTTGATTGATACCTCTCTTTTGGTCTCAGCCCGGCAGGCAGGTCCAGCCCTCTGGCCGTGGCTTCGCTGCCTTGCTTGGCAATGGCCGGGTGGTCTGCTGGGGCACTATGGCCTCCTTTATGAGGCGTCAGATGGACGAGCCCGTGCGCGAGAGCCTGACGGATGTGCGCTCCATCGCCTCGAACCTCTCCGCATTTGCAGCCATCCGGAAGGATGGCTCCGTGGCGCCGTGGCGTCGTTGGGATCGGCTGGGGGGGACTGGGGTTTTGGGCGGGTGGGCCTGGAGCTTTGACACTTGCCCAGAAGGTTGCTTCAGGTATGGGTTCTCCAACCCCCTACCCTCTTGAAGGCCAAAAGCTGTCTTGAAGTGTGGGTGAAGATTGGGTCTGAAGTTCATCCACATCAGAAATGCCATCAATAGAAAGGCTCTCCTAATTCAATCCAGACTACTAGCCAAACAATCAACCAATTTTAAGGCTACTACAGTTGTTACATAACATGTTTTGTGCCTTCTTTCCCCCTTGGGCTGAGAGATTCAAGTCATCACAATGTTTTTCTCACATGTTTCTTCAACTTGATTCATTGGCTTTCCACCCAAGTCTCTTGCGCCGCGCGCCCCTTCGCCACGTCGGCTCGTTGTGCTCGGCCCCCTGGGACCCAGGTCGCCTTTGGCGACGAGGGGCGCGGTGGGAACATCCCGAGCAGCCTCCAGACGCAGTTGTACGACGTCGAGGAGATCTGTGGCTCCTACAGTGCCTTCGCGGCGCTCCGGCAGGATCGCAGGGTGGTGACCTGGGGCGATCCCAATGGAGGTGGGACACACCGAGGCTGAGAGGTCATGGAGACATATGGAGGGTGGGGGGAGGGTTTCATTCAACTCCTGTGAGGTGGTGACAGCAGCGATGTGAAAGATCAGCTGGAGAACCTGGGCAAAAGAGGGCGAACGTGCGTGCAATTTGGGTTGGTTGGCCCGGGTATTGTTGAACCTTTCGCGGTTCGGTAAGGTGCTCGGACGCCAGTCATTGAGGGGTTCGACCGTGCATGCACCCACGACTGAAGCCCAGCGGCATGTGCGGAATATTACGTAAGTTTAAGGAACCTCTTGAGCAATGCCGCGCAAAGTGTTTGAAGTAGGCTCACGAGCACATTTTGGGGCTATGAAGAGGTGTTGCTGCTTGTTGTGAATGCAGCGAAAAGCTGCTTCACATAGACCCAGCTACCCAGCTCGTTGGGATGACCTGAGGGACGTGCAGGACCTCGTTGCCACGCTCGGCGCCTTTGCGGCGCGCACGGGGCGTGGCTCGGTGGTGATCTGGGGCAGTTGGGACTATGGCGGCCCCTGCGAGGCCCAGGAGCAAGTCGACGTGGCGACCGGGAAGGTGGGGTAAACGGTTTTTGAAGAAAAGGCGAGACATTCTCATTTGACGCAAGAAAGTGAGTGGTGCCATTGTCGATGTGTTTTAAACCCAAACCTGGTCATCATCCTTTTCAAAGCAGCCCACTGATGCCCACTCATCGATTCAACCAAGCCCCAGGTGATCCCATTCAATGGAGATGTGCTGAAGGACGTGCAGCTGATCCGGGCCTCGGGTGGCGCATTTGCTGCCCTTCTCACCGATGGCTCCGTAAGCACCTGGGGTAATCCCACCTTCGGTGCGGACTGCAGTGCAGTGCAGGCTCAGTTGAAGCAGGCTCCGCGGTCGGAACTGATTTCTACACCGCCTCTAGTGAACCGGTGTCGCCGAGACTAATGGGCCTGCTTGCCTATCAGAGGTCTAGCAGAACATTTCTCCTGCATGCGTTTTGGTCCCACCGGTCCATCATTTTCCGATTCGTCTTCAGCCTCTTTTGAGGGCTTCCGATTCTTTCCATTTCTGATTTTCCGATTCTTTTTTGAGGTCCGTTTGTCCTTCTTTTTTGGGGGGGGAGCCTGACCTCCGTGGACCGTCGTTCCTGGTTCACTCCGTTCACGGATTCCCCTTCACCTCGTTCCGAAAACGACGTTCCGTACGACATCCCGCGGCGGATTCGCTGCACGGGTCGGTCGGGAGGTGCAGCACTTGACCTCCTCGCATCGCGCCTTTGCGGCGCTCCTGGCCTCTGGAGGCGTCGTGACCTGGGGCGATCCACGCTTCGGAGGGGACTGCCGCGCGGTCCAGGACGGCGGAGCGGAGCGGGGGAGCGCCGTGGGCGGTTTCGGTTCGTTTTTGGGTGGGGTATGCTGCGGTGAGAGTCCCAGTGAACCTGGATTGGAGCAATCCATGAGCATGAGATAGCATTGAGATAGCATTGAGATTCGCTCGTTTTTGTTTATGGTGTTGGAAATCCATGCCGAGTCTGAACTGTGGTCCTGCTTGAGGATCAACTGAGAGATGTGCAGCAGATTTTTTCCTGTGACCTGGCCTTTGCAGCTGTCTTGTCTGATCGAACTGTGGTCACTTGGGGCAGTGCTACCTTTGGGGGGGACAGCAGCAGCGTCAGAGATCAGCTCCAAAATGTGCAGACGATACACGGTTCTGGAGGCAGGGCTGCTTCGGCAGCTTCTAGTTTTCGGCTCGGGCCCGTCACTGGTCCTGTGTTCGGGTGATTTTGGGTGACGATGTGACGGCGTTGTCCGATGTCCCGATGGCTTGCAGGTGCCTTTGCTGCAATGCTGGCGGATGGCCGCATCATCACCTGGGGAGATCCACAGCATGGGGGTGATTGCAGTGGCATCGAGGATCAGCTGCGGACCATGTAGGCACAGCACCCCACAAAAGATCCAAAAAATGTGCGAGCGCCCGGGCGGTGTGGTGGGCTGGCAATGCAAACCTGAACGCTTTGACTGCCACTGCTGAACGCTTTGAGATTGGGCGATGTTCCTATCCTGGCCATGAGTAGTAGCTAAAGGCGCTACGAGTAGTGAGTAGTAGCAAGAAGCTACTAGTACGGGCAGTAAGGGCATTACTACTAGTAAACAGTAAACAGAATCCACTAGGTAGCTCCTGCTACTAGTAGTAATGAATGCCCTTGTTACTAGTAGCGTTGCACTTGTTACTAGTTCAGTAGTTCCAACCTACAATATTTGAGCCGCATTGGGCCCCACGCTTTTCTGCCCTTGCTGAGAGAGAAGAGGATTGCCCACCTGGCCCCCGGGACTTCCGCCGTAAAGATGCTCGCACGTTTCCTTCGTGCAAATTACAGCTTTCCTTAACTCCCTCGCCTTGGGGCCACTTGGGATCAATATCAGTTTCTTCCTGAAAGTGTAAGTCAGCCCAGTGTGGAAGCTAAAGCAGAGAAGTGGGCTTCAGCTACAGTGATGAGGGAGCCGCAATCATGCGACTTTTCCTCTTGGTTCCTCCAGCCCCACACTGACTTGACTTTAGGACAAAGCTGCCTCACTGCTGAGTTCGCTTGAGATACTGGACCCCCCAAATCCACTTTCCACTCAAGAGAGGTCTTTGTGACTTCGGAAAGCTTATCACATGCAGTACATATAAAACAGTATATTGTATATTGATATACTATATATATTGTATATATATATATATATGTGTATATATGTATTTGTAGTGCCTCACTGAGGAAAGCCTGTCAGTGCTTCTTGCCCTCCTTGGGTTGGGCCATGGTCTTGCTTGGCATCTTCATGTCCATGGGGGCCTTGATCCTCGCAACCCTGCTGCAGGCGCAGCTTCAAGCGTTAGGGGGTGACTCGTTTGGCTGAACAGCGTTAGACTGTTGACGAACGAAGGCAGCTGTTGGGTTTTTGGAAGGCCGCAGGCCCGCTGACTGACATCCAACCGTGCACAGGACTTTCTGCTGAACCAAACATACCCGCTCGAAGAGTGGATTTGGATTTGGAACCGTTATGGGACTGCATACAAAGCCTTGTACACTCTCTATGAGACCCTTGGCACGCATCTAGCTGCTAGCTGTTCTAGCGATTCAGCCATGCGTTTAAGCATCGGCCGCGGTTGCATAACTCTTTTAGAGTTTTTGCTCATGATCTCACACGGGTACCTGGCCGAGTTGTGACACTATGCTCCTCGGGTTGCTCTATTGTTGCAGGTCTGCAGCTCATAAAGGCATAAAAACCCTCAGACTTAATCATTCATTCAAAGCCTCACCCGGCAAAAGCCTGTTTTGTTGGGGCATGTTGGGGCCGGTGCCCCGGGTACCACGCTTTCGCTGACTCTACGCCTCAGGATCACCTTTGCTGGAAACTGGCCGGTCAACGTGCGGCCGGTACTGGAATCGGTGTCTCAATATTACGTAATATTCTTCATTTTGTACATCACCATCATTGTGCCTTGATTCCGGGTTTAGTGAAACTTTTCCATAGCTCTTGAGGCACTCCTTGGAGGGGTTGTTGTTTGAGTGCCATTTGACAAGCCCGTGAAACGGCACAGGTCTTTGCAGTGATCCGCGTGGCTTGGCGGAGACGGATGGTTCCGGGATGTGAGTGAGACAGGTGGTGCGATTGGTGACAGGTGTGATGGTCGGGAGTTTGACCGCCTTCTATGACATATGATTTTTGTATTTACTGGTTGGTGATGGCTGTGTGGTTTTGTTCGCTTTGAGCTCCGTGGCTTCTTGGCTTTGGGCAAGGAAGGGACAGGACAGGACAGGACAGGAAAGGCAAGGAAGGAAGGAACCATTCCAACATAGGGAGGGTCTGGAGGAGAGTCACACTTAGAGTTTCTTTCACAGTTTGTGGCGACAACCCTGCACTGCCTTCCCTTTTCCTTACATTTTCTTGAAACTCCTGGCCCAACAACGGAAACAACAAGATCCTTCAAAAAGAAAGAACACAACATCTTCAACTATAGCATTGACTATATAATCCGGAGTCCAAACTGTTGCCCGGTGAGGTGATTTCCGCGATCTTCTTGAAGGACAGGCTGCGTTGGCCACCCTTGGTTGGTGAGAGCGACATGACGTATCTGCTGATTTTTGGGGGGCAGGTGGCCGACATGGAATGTTCGGACTTCCCCGGAACAAGCTTCGGGCTGGCACCAAGCGGGTTGACGCTTACCAAGGCAATGATTGGTCTTAGTCTGGCGTCCTGCGTAGAAGTTGCGAAGTGGAGAGGCCAAGATGTGCACGGTTTGGTGCGGGCCTGGGCCCGGGCCGCAGTATTGGACGGAGCTGCTTGCTTGGAAGCACGTTTGGATGATTGTCACAGGGCCCTTGCAGCTGCCCTTGGGATCCAGAGTTTAGGTGGTGGGTGGTGAGCTATGGCGAGACTGTTGGTCATATTATCTGGAGAAGCACACTGGTTTCGAGCGTGAATAGCACTTGGAAGAGCAAATCGTTGCTCAGTATTGCTGCAACAAAATCACAAAGGCAGGGATTTCTGGGCCTGGTGTTTCACCAACATCTCCCCATGACAGCACCCTTCTCCAGGTGTGGCAAGGTAGCCTGTGTCGTGCACAACTCTCAGCTGATGGCCCTGTGGAATGAATTTGGCACCATTTGAGGGCATTGGGCCTGTCCCGCCATGTGTTGGGCAACCGAGTGCAGGTACCGTACCCGTGTTTGGGGGGGTCCCGGGTGGCTGGTCCTCCAACATTGGAGTGCGACACCAACCACTCCTGGAGAAAAGGTGATTTGTGATTGGCATATGGACATGGCCCGGAACTGTTCCACTGTTTCTTGGTGTTGATGCTTCAGGTGTTTCCTTCAGTGATAACCCGAGAGAACGCAAATGGATGGCTGTGGCCATTTGCATGGTGGATGATCAGTTTTTGGTTGCTGGCTTTTTGTTGCTCAAAGGGTTAAATTTGTGTGACACTAAGGATAAGTGCAGCTAGGTTCTTAGGGCTAAGATTGTGGCCCAGATGCGCCAAGATGGATCAAAGTCCAACTGTTTAAATCTCGCCGGACTCTTGAAAGTTGCTTGGCCTTGGGCCATCCTGCTTGGAGTTGTCCAACAAATGCTGTTGCACCCTATGGCAAGGATGATGTTAGCTTCTAGATCCTGGCAAGAGCTTGGAAGCATCATCAGTGGTGACTAACGGGGTGCAGTTGTAGTTCCTGTTGGCTCATGTGCGCGAAGAATGGTTGCTAAAGAGAAGCAGCGAGTCTCTCGGCGGACCAAAGTCATGTGGAAGGCCACGCTTGGCAACTCTGTGACAATTACTAAAGCTGTGCCAAATGTTCAAGTGTTGGGCAGAGCGCTACACGCACACCATGAGTGGAGGTGCTTCTATGTCGCGTGTGGTTTGCCATTTGCCATGTTTCGCTGGTCGGTCCGTTAGTCGTAATTTGCAGCAACTTTGGTTAAAGCTGGCCATGTATATAGGCGGGGTTGGCGGTGTTGACCGTTCTGGTAGGTGGTGGTCGGTGTTGGGGAAGGACACGTTGGACGCGGCCAACAACGATGCCGAACAAGCGGTGGTGGAACGCTTGCAGAGCAAGAAGAAGTATGTCGACAAATTGGAGGCCATTTTTAAGGCCATCGACACCACCGGGGACGGCATGATTACAGAGGACGGGTCGGACGGGCGGCGGGCGTTCTTTTTTGCTTCTCGGCCTGGTGAACCCCATTCCAATGTGCGAGTCAAGGTTTTGTCGAGCTGGAATGCTTCCAGCACGAAAATCAACGGCACAGCCAGAAACCAGCAAGTCATGGCTTCGAATCCGAGTCCTCCGTTCAAGTGATTGAACTCTCGTGTTTGCAGGAGCGGTTGGCAGAGATGTTGGCCAATCCGGTCGTACAAACATATTTCCAAACGTTGGACGTTGATGTGCACGATGCTTGGAGTGTCAGGAATGGGGAACGTTGGGTGAAAAACGCTGGACTGATGCACCGATTGCAAGCCATATAGGGTTGTGTGGCTCTTTGATGCTTATATTCTATATGGACCTGGAGGTGTATTAGAATAGGGAGGCCCCCCCCAAAAAAAGCACTGGAAGGAGAACAATAGGTCCAAAAGCCCCTTGTAACCAAGGGGTCTCGCTATCCCAGTGCACAAAAACTCGACTCGGCCCGGCCCGGGCGTTCGGAGACGAATCCACCCAACACAAAATTCGGAGGATCGAATGAGGCAAAGGTTCAGACCTACGCCCTTGGTTTCAGCTGAGCACAAGCCGCACAGGATGGTTTTCAGATGTTTTAAGTATGATTTCGGAATGTTTTTCTTGGTCTTTTGACTGCCTGAGGAAAGTGCGGCTTTGTTTCACCTGATGCTTGTCGATCTTTCAATCAATTGTTTTTTGAGTGCAGTACTTTCTCTACTCACTGTTGCCTCTTGGATTTTTTTCCTCTCTCTCTCTCTATGTAGTTATTACTGTAGTAATGTAGTACTATGTAGTACTTGTTGGATGACTCCAATGCACGATTCGCCTACTTTGGTGACCGTGTTGAGCCATTTAGGATGGACAATGGAGATGGTGAGGCCCGCAGTGCATTCTTGGAGCCGGCCTTCGTTTTTTTTGAAGAGATTGGACCGTGATTGCCGGGAAAAGCCCTTGACCTTGAGAACTTTGGGCCTGGCACGGCTTGCCTCTTTCACACGGCCTACGTTCCCTTTGCCTCCATTGACCTTGTGTTTCGTGGCAATTTCTGTGTGTATTCTTGTGATTGTGGGCAGTTAATCCACTACGCTAGGTACCAAGACAGGAAGGAGGGAGGGAGGGAGGGAGGGAAGGAGGGACGGCCGGATGGAGGGAGGGACGGACGGACGGACAGACTGACGGAAGGAAGGAAGGAAGAACAGGAAGAGTAGGAGTAGGAAGAAGTTAGGAAGGGTAGGAAGAAGTTAGGAAGAGTAGGAAGAAGTTAGGAAGAGTAGGAAGAAGTCGGGAAGAGTAGGAAAAGGTCGGAAAGTTCCGGAAAGAGTAGGCAGAGTAGGAAGAAGCCAGAACGGAAGCAGGAAGTCGGTCAGGATAGAGCATGACATCAGGAGTAAAGGCAGGAAAGCCTTCGTGATGCCTGGGTCCCGCGGGCCCTGCGAGTGAGTACAGCTGTTCACATTGTTTGCATAGCTTTGCTTTAGTGTTATAAGTTATAAGTTATATATATATAATGCCTTGCATGTGTGGCGAAACATGCGTTGCCAGGCATATTCTTGCTTGAGTTTGTCTCCCCCCTTCAACCCTCAAGCCAAATCCAAAACCATCCATGACCAAGCTAAACCAGTCCAAACCGCCCATGAGAGCATTCTTTGATCCTCGCAGGGGTTCTGTCAGAGATTTGTTCCCCAAACAGTGTAGTAACATTAGGGGTTATCACGGTAAGAGTTCAGGATGGGTGTCTGATCGAGGTGCTCGCATCCGCCGGCGGCTAAGTCGCTGCTATTAGTACATTCATTCACCTCGGGATCTTCGAAGTGCATTCCGGCTGCGCAGGCTCCCAGAATCTGGTGGGCTAGCGCGGGTGCCCTTCAAGACTGCTCTTGTTGTGGTGCCGTGCGCATTTTCGGGCTTGATGACAGGATCGGAGCGGTTGTATGTCGATGTGCGGATTTCGTGCCAGCCGCAGTGCTTTGGACATGGTGGTGGTCTTCGGCATGCTCTGATTTAATTTCGTGGCAGGTGCAAAGAACCGTGTCTTTTGGGCATGTGGCTCGCTTTCAGAAACCGGAGGAAGTCTCGAGAGAAAGCTGCACTTTGTCTTTGGAGTGCTCCTGCTGCGCACGTGGTTTGCAAACCTCCATCGCCACCATCACCACCATCACCATGACCACCGCCACCATCACCACCATCCACCTTCATCACCGCCGTCGTCGCCACCATCACCTTTCTCTGGAGCCCACTGCGTCTAGATCTCTAGACCTTCTGCTTCTACACCTCTAGACCCTTTTTGGGATCTCTTTTGCCGGGAGACCTTGGGATTATAGTATGTGTTTGTGCCAGTGCTTTTGTGCCCCCAAAGAAGCTCACCTCGTCTTCCGAGCGCTGTTCATGCCACAAACTTCACCGTTCTGCTAAGTGCAGAACTTGCCCCTTGCCAAAATTCAACGTCGGATGGGCTACTCAGTTGCCTGGGGGTAAGGCCCTGCAGCCAAAACTAACAACAGCGGAACAGGCCAAGCACGCCCGTGAACATATCAAAGCCACTGTTGGAGGGCCCAGTTGTGCCAGAAATGTGCAATGCTATGAGTACATGCAGGCAAATCAAAATTCATGAGAAATGTAAGATTTCTGGCCCCTAGGACACAAAGCTAGGCTAGCTTTGTTGGCCAAGTGGCCAAGTGGAGCTCATCAACTGGAAAAATCCACGCAAAGTGAAAAACAACACTTCCCACGGAATTCTGCACCAGTTTCGATTTGGCCGTTCGCCACGACGATGGCCTCCCGCAGGTCACATTGGAAGAGTTCATACATGGCATCATGAGATGCAAGGGACATGCACGTGCTCTTGACCAAGTGGCGATGCAGAATCAGATTAAGGCGCCGGACATTGGTGTCAACCGACCCTTGGTGCGGTAAACCGGAGAGTCTCCCTCGTGCTTTCAGCCCAGCTGTTGCATGTGTGTGGCAACTTCAAAGGTCATTGAATAAACACACGTTCGGTAGAGGATCATTGTTTTGATATCTTGGTGGCGTTTGCTGTCAGGTTTTGGACACGAAGATTTCAAAGATTCTTCGGCACCTGGGCGGGTTCAGCCTCCTTTGACGTAGCTTGAGGAGTGTTTTTGATGTCACTAGACGTTGATCCCTGTGTTTTCCGCATGTGCCATGCCCAGGGGTTTACGATCAGCTGATATCATCAAGCAAACAGCTGCGTCGAGGAGGAGGGATCACGAGACGCTGGGCATCGCTGGGGTCCAGACTAGGGGGTGGATACTGGATGTTGGACGTAAGACCCTGGTGTTGTTTTCCGCGTGTGATGACTAATCGCCGTAAATCTGTGACCTCAAGCAGACTTCCTTCATGCTGGTACTACCTCACAGATCTCACAGAAACCTTTGTTTCTAGGCTTTTTGAGCTCCCTCTCCACCTAGGAAGCAGCCATGAAGGCGCTGTAGCCAAGTGCTGGCCTGCCGTGAAGGACACAGATGGCACGCAGTTTTTTTTGTGCCAACGATCTTCCAAGCCACCATAGCCAGTGAAATGTTGGATGATCAATATCAATACGGCGACACGACAAGCACTCCGGATTCCAAATGATTCAGATTGTTGAGGTCTCCTCCAGTGGTGGTGCGATGTAATAGCCGGGTGAAAACGCCCCCAAATCCGGCAAAGGTGTGAACATCCACCGCTCCTCCCTCCTGTTACTCCCCCTCCCGGGGCGGGCCAAACTTCTTGTTTGAGATTCGGGCCAGCGGGGCGTCTGAAGGTCCGGGAGGCCCAAACCTGCGAACTCTCATCGATTTTCCAAGACAACAAGAGGCTCCCTTTCTCTCATCAAGACGCCTTCAGACTCCAATCCTATGCACCTGCTAAGCAGGGATTCATGGTGAGCTGCTGGTCAGTGCAGACTTTGCACCCGCACCCTTTGGTGAAAAAAGGCCTCGATCCGGCCGAGATGTTGCGTGCAAGCGGCGAGCCCAGCTTCATGGAACTGGGTTCGCGGTCTTCCGCTTCCCTCATGTCTTGATGGCATCTCTGCATCATCATGCTGAGAGAGACATGTCGCTTATGTCATCAGCATGGGAGATCACTGCGCTGGAGTTTCGCCTCTGGAACACTCGGGCTTTTGACGCGCCTGGAGCCTTCACGACCCTTTTGTTTGCTGCTTTCGTGCTTTCTTTGGGTACCCCAAAGGGGTCATCTCACCGATCGAGCCGTTGTTCTTTCCACCCCCAACCAATGCTTGTCTCCATCGGGGTGCCATGGGGCTGACCCGCTGGGACCCCTCAAAAAGACCCCTCGCGCCTCGGACGGGAGACGGTGCCGAGCCGCTCAGCTCGGAGTGAGGCCTCCCAGTTTCCAACGCTTTTCAAGCTCGAGGGATCGACGTTTGGCGCCGAGACGGGTGAAGCTCGGGTGGGTGAAGTGAGGAAGCAGACGCCGCCGAACTGAGATGGGGCTGACCTGTGCCTCCAGAGTCCGGTCATGAAGCCCTTGGGTCAGGTAAGAGTCTGTATGTCATAAGTGGTCCAAGTTGAAGAACCTGCTGCTGAACTGTGTTGAGGTTCTTTAGTCTGCAGGAAGGTCGGGGCGCCTACTTCAGAGCCCGCTTTCCGATCTTGCAGCCCTTAGCCACAGCCTGGGTGACGTTTGGGGCTTCTTAAGGTCCGAGACAGCACCATCTAACTGCTCCACTTGCTCAACTTGAGCCTTAAACATTCTTTAAGACACATCTTTTATAATTTTTTCATGTACTCCGTACTCCTCTTGACTCGTTCCTCGTTCCATCTCGTTCCCACCGAGCCTCATGGGCCCGGTCGGTGGTCTCGCCTGATCGATCGCCAGCGAGGTCTCCAGTGGAGTGCGACGGCGATGGAGCCCTTGGAACTCTTGGGCTCGGTGCTCCAGGCGGAACACCGTTCGCGCCGAACCGAGCGGCGACCACGGGGGGGGGAACACCGGTGACCACCGGGTTTCCCAGGACATCGTCTGACGGAACGCTGCGTGTGTGCGATGTGGTGTGTGTTGGAGTGATGGAGTGATGGAGCTGTGTGATTTGGTGCCCACATGTGCCAACTGGTGTGTCATTGGCACTTGGACTGCAAACCGGTTGACTTGGCCTGGTCTTTTGAGAGGGACCATGCAAGTGAGAAAAAGCTGAGGCCTCCGGTGATCCAGGGTCGAATCCATGTCGACCCCTCAGGTTTTGCATTCTTGGCCAGGAGGATGTGTGCATCATGCACGAACGCGCTAGTGGAGGCGGACCATGGGACGTTGCAGAAGGAGGTCAGCTGTCAAGCCTAACCTGGCAGGTTTTTCATGCATCTGAGGGCTTAGAAGAAGCAACCGGATTTTGCTAGGTCTGGCTGCTGGTGCCCTTTTTCAAGCTATGCTGGGCTTCAGGTGTAGCTGGGTACGGTTGAAGCGACTCCACCAGCTACTTCGGTTGTTCAGGAAGGCTGTTCCTGCTGTCACATTGAACCATGGGATGACGGTAGCGCCACCAACGACAGCCATTGACATGCATCATCGGAGCTTGCTCAACTCATATCCTGGCCACACCCCCGAGAGCTCAGCCCACCTTCTAGACGATGTCCCTTTTTCCTCATCTTTCAGGCAGAGGGGCCGGAAACAACAATGTCCCAACCCAGAAAAACACCTGCAGAAAACGCGTCCAGTCGTTCACGTCCTTTGCTTCGACAGAACACCTCTTCGTGGCGGGCGTGGTGATGGACTCCTTCGATCCAGTGGCCAAGCACATGCAGGTGAGGAGTTAGAGATGATGCTGAACAAATCCAGGCTTTGAGGATGTTTGAGGGGCTCCAAACATAGGTGTGGAACCGGCCAATACGGATACGGTGCACCTGAAAACTGACGTCATACTACTTTTCAAATCAGGCAGGGCCAGCTGTTTGGTGTGATGCATTTCTTCAGGCAGGCCGCTCCAGATCCGCTGTGCCTGCCCGCCTGGACTCACTGGCTCAAGTTGCGTCCAACTCCCAAGCTGCATCAACTGCGCCAGTGGCGGGATATTTGGCTCGAGGCACAGGGGGGGGGTATCGCAGAGGCCGCAAGGTACAAGAAAGCACTGGATGTGCTTTGGAGCCAGGTGGCAGTGGATTGTCCATAATCGTTTTGACAGAGGGACGCCATTCGGGCCTACACCTCAACGTTCACATCTGGCCTTTTCCACCTTCTTAGTGCCAGCAAGGTAGATTGAACTGCCAGCGTTGCCTTGGTTGGCTCCAAATTGTAGTGGTGTGGGACCAAAGTGCAGTCGGTACATCCCTTCTGAACTTCAGGTGGTGTCTCACCATCGGCCTGTCCAGTGATTAGCCCGTTTTGAAGCGGCCCCCTTCAATGAAGACCTGTGTGACTCCTGACTTCATGTTTTGTCTTGTTTTTATCCTCAGGGGGCCGATGACAGAGGGCTCTCTATGTATAAAAACTGATTCCATGCTAACATATTCTAACTGTAACTGTTGAAAGGTTGAGAGAAGTGATTTGGAATTGGTATGGCTCAATGACCGCGTTCTGCCAACAGCCTGACATTATATTCGCCCGACAAGTTGAAGTCATGACCTGTTCGCTAGTTCTGGGACCATTTCCCGTAATCTGTCAGCATTCAGATCGAACCCTCGGTACGAAGAGTTGCCTCCTTCCGAGGCGTCAGAAGATGGGGTGCTGCGCGGGAAAAGCGGTTGTCTCCGGCAGCTGAGCGGACGAGCCCATGTGGTCCCATGCGACCAGGGGAGGACTCGTGCATGCGACGGGGAGGACTCGTGCATGCACGAAGACGTTCAATGTGGCGATGGATGTGTAATGGAGGCTATGCCATCTCCAGCTTCATGATTTGGGAGGTGACTCATCCTGGCCTGCATGGAAAATTCAATGCCTCGCTCATTGCTCGGGTGTGCCAGGTCTGTGGGTGGGGCACTCTTGTAGGTCAGTTTTCAAGGACCATCCATGAATTGGGCGTATCCAGCACAGCATATCCTTGTCCACCAATTTCGGGGGCGATTCCAATACCGCCAGGGCAGGGGGTATGCCTTCGTCCTTTTTTGCGCACAACGTACCTCTGAGTCATTGGCTTAGTGAAGTCAATGTTCCAAGCACTCCGGACGAAGGGAATCTAAGAAAAGGTTCCACAAGTCTTGCGATTGCTGGACTGACTGAGTGTTGCTAGCAAACCTCTTTTTGTGCAACGTTTGCAAGACGCACCTAGCAAAAAACATATATGCCTCGCATTTAGATGGGCTGCTTCACATGTTCGCTGGCCTTCTTCGTGGTTTGTGGCTCAGTGTTTTAAGGTCGACCGGCCCTTCACAATGACAGTGGTCGTGGAAGCAACAGGATTCCTCTTCTTAGCGCACGCCCACCTTGGCCTTTCAGATGGGGTCATCTGGGGAGTCAGTTGTTTGATCTGAATTCGCAGGTCTCGGGAGCCAGAGCTCCATGTTCAAAAATCTCAGGGCGAATCAAAGGCCAGTGGCTAAGCATGTGCCCAAAAGGTATGGGGTGGTTAAATTTGTTCCACGTTCTGCAGCCTTGGGCGTAGTGCCCGCGCAGCATGCAGAGCCAGCTGCTTCCAGAGGAGGCGGTACCGCGATGCGCGGCAGATGTCGTGTCGTGACGGTGCGTTCAATCCGCGCGCCTAGCACACCTCATACCTTTGTGCTAGAAGTGCAACTTATTTTCCGACAACATATGTAGCGTGTGTGTTTGGTTGATATATGTTCCTCCTGGCCGGTTGCAGACGGCCCCTTCCAGGATGCTTGACGGAAGGTTGTGTTGGTCCCAGGTTTTTGTGATGTGTTTCTGTGAACTGGAACAGGCCTCCGCGCGTGTCATTTAAATGGGGTTATATGGAGGTGCACCGTGTCTTTTTTTGCTTCTCGGTTTGAATTGGACCCCTGATGGACTATTTCTGTGGATTTGTGTTTTGCCGCAGCCGACATTTGAGTGCCATATTTTGAAGGACAAACCGCGACATGCTTCCAGTCAATGCAATGCCTCGATAAGATTCTCCCCAGACAGAGTCCCAGCAATAGCCTGACCCTTCGACGAGATCAAACACTCAAGAGCGTTGAAGTCCATGCTGACCTGATCCAGGTCCCAACAGACGGGAAGGGCCCAGGAAGCTAGTGGATGAATCAAAACAAAGAGTCAAGACACAATCGTCGAAAACAACATTGAACGTAGAGTGCATGGCCAACTGCATTGACCCCTGCCCCCGCCCCCTGCTCAACCTCCATCCGAGCTTTTTCTGCTTTTGTATTTGCGGGATTTTGTGGGCATGCTGGCTCGGGCAAACCCATTGGACGCCCCAGCAAAAAATGCTGGCGCTTCACCGTATCGTCCGTTGTTTCACCAGGTCTGCGAACGTTCCAGGAAACACTGGACGGACACTTCGCTGGACTTGTGGAGTAAGACCCACAACACTCCTTTCATCAACTCTGTGAACCAGCAGGATCTTTATATTGTTCTTCTTTGAAGCTTGAAATCAGACTGTTTTAGACTACCCGCTGCCATCGAAATGCTGTCGTCGTTATTATCCGTTATTTCCTCGCCATCGGTGCCAAAGTTTCACCCAAGTTCCTGATTACAGTAGGTTCTTTTTTCATTTCTTTCACGCCTGTAGGGGTGCCAAAACATGCACTTTCCTCGGGAGACTTTTTTTTGTTACAGTTTACTGTTGGGGTTCTATCTTGTGGCCGCGCCCCTGAACTCTGTGGCAGGGCTCTGTGGCCCGGCTCTGTGTCCGGGCCTTGTCCTCCTCTTGTCCTTGTCT